TAACACTTTTAAAGGACCAGTGGACCAGAAATGGAACATAATATTCATAGGTATGTTTTCAATAGTGTATAATCTCTTCTTTGGTTTTCACCACTAGTTGCCACTAAATCCTACACACTCCCTTTAAGATCATAACAGAGGTCTCTACATCTTCATGTTCACCTGACAGTTTTCAGAAGTATTTGACAGGAGGTATGTGCATCATAATGTGTCAAAGACATCTTAAAGTACATGAGTGAGACTACACACCCAAAGTACATTTTGACAGCCACCAATTAACTGTTGAAATGGAATTCAATATGAAACTTGAATCAATCACACATTGCCACACTTCTCTGTGCACTGGTAAACAGTATAATAAGATAGGATATGCACAGCTGATGTCATTTTTTTATATTTATATGTATTTATATCTATTCAAGTTTGAAGCACCTTGGCTTGCAACTGTGAAGTGAGAGGGTTGACATCATATCCTTGTACATTTCAAACAGCAGAGATCATTTGTTGAGCACTATCAGATATGGAAAGACACAGATCTGGTCTCTTTTGTCTTTTGGCCCATTTTATCTCAGAAAAATACGTATTTCTATGGGTCGTCATTTCAAAATAGCTTCTTAATTATTTAAGAAATAGACATTTCCTGGGAAAAAAATTTAATTGACCCTTCTTATGTCCTGCTCCTCTTCCCTCAGTGCTCTAGTAACAGTTAAGCAAGCCTCATATGAGTAAAAACACAGAGCACAAGAAGTCTTCAGAAGATGCTAAAATATAAACTTGTTTACACGCAAGCATATAGTTCAACAGACATGTAAAGTAAATGTTAAAGCCCCCCAATATGTTTATCTTCTTGTTGCTAAAGTGTGATGTTTGATCTTCACTGTGCAGAATGAGTGATGTGCAGAGTCTGTTTTCACATTTCATCTGCTGAAAGTGTTAAGGGGCGGAGACTATAAGCATGATATGTGACATCATCTTGGTCCAGTATGCAACTTGTACAAGCGTGATGTAGAAACTTTAAGCCACCAGTACACATACACTGAGAAGGGAATTTTACAGTGAAGTAGGAGACATCTTGAAACTTCAGAAATTAAATAAATTTAGGATATTCATAGATTCTGGAATGTTTAATGAGGTAGAAGGAGTAGATTACCTTTTTACACGGTCAACACGTTTCACTCCAGGTCGTCAAATACCAATATGGGTTTGTCACATTTGTGCACAAGGTACCCTTTAGTGTCCATATGAGACTCCTTTTTAACACATGAATGACTTTGTGAAACAAAACTACTTGGTTAGGTTTAGGAAAAGATTATGATCTGGGTTAAATATGTTATGTCAGGCACGTTATTTCCATTACTGCAGTAACAGGTCATGTCATAGTGTTATGAAATGTAAAACTTGAAGTAAGTCCACATTGAGTACTGTGTTTGTTTGACCCATCCATCGCCTGGGTGGTTTACATTGGGGTTAAAACGAAAAACTAATGAGGTTATGTTGCTATGGTGATATTGTATTGTTTACGAAGAATGGAATAAATATATTAAATATTATTATTTTATGAATATTATTTTATGTAATGTATTCATTATAAGCATATACATGTTTTCTCCTTGCGTGAGGGAGCTATGTAACATCCGGTTTTAATTACTGCCGTGGAGGATGGCAAAAAGTTCTGATTTGATCTGGTTTTGCTGTCTACAGCCCGATTCCTTGTGAATGAAACAAAAACGGTACCTTGTGCGTCAGTATGGAGACACCAAGGGGCTTGACAAAATGTTGGCATTTGACGCTCTGGGATCCAACATTTTTGGAACTTCGCCCATATTAGGAACTAAAAGTCAGGGTATCTCGGCCTCAATTCTTTTTTAATCTGTCAGGTAACTTAGTCTATCAAGGTCAAGTGGAAGTTATGCTGGTATGTTTTTTCCATTATGTGTATATGTGGTGGCTTTGTTGACACAATTAAATTCACAGTCTGACTCATTCATTCACACATTTTTTCTAGATCAAATACAACACAACACATGCAACATTTGTATTTTTCTTGTGGGGGATTGTCAACAACTGGCTCACCAAAGTGGTCTACCAAAGTCGAACACAGTATGAATTCCGAGCATCTTGCAGGTTTTAAACTATAATCCACAGACTCATACTCCACACCCATACATGTTTTCTGTGGTTTATAGTCAGACCCCACTGGATCGCTAATTTTATACTCTCTCCCTCACACACACACAGGATGTGTATTCAGTGGTTAAATGGAACAGAAACTGTCGTTGAAGAGACTAACCTGTTATACAGCTCATCATTCTTTGTCAATATGAACCACTCCTTTTGGAAACATCTGAAGCCTCTTTTCAGCAACCAACAACACAAGAAAAGCTCTCTCCATACATCACAGTGTATTATGGTTAATGCCTTCTAGACAATAGAGACACACTGGAAAGAATTTACACAGTTCCATGAAACATCTAAACGTTTCTAGTTAATTAAGTCTAAGTGCAGCCGCTAGGGGGGACCCATGAAGGCCAGCAATAATGTTCTTAATCCATCCATGGTGCAGCCCCCGTCACTGAATAATTCTCTCTCAGTTTACATGAATGAGTTTAAGAAGGAGGGAGGGAGAGGACGCACTGATATGTGTAAATCTGATTTTGGGAGGGCCTATTTCTTGGACCTTTTCAGGGGCCCAGCAATTTCTGTGGGCCACTTTTACATGTCTTACATGTTTTAGTAACTTTTCTTACAGTGATATGTCAAAATGGCTGCTGTGCAAACCACTGTTTCAGTCTGTATAACTTTGATAAGTATAATTATCAAACCTTTATGAAGGTGTTTATAATTCAAATGTCTTTTTGAATACATTTGAATAAAACTACAGACACGTTTAAGCTCTGATTTTACAATGTGCATACCTTTGAACATCATATATTCCAAGTATTTGAACGTTATTAACTTACTTTGTTAATACTCATTTCAGCGCAAGCAAAAACTGCTCCCATTATGTTTGCACCTTTATTCAGTTTCCTGTTTGATGATTATCAATATATTAAGAAAGTAATTGACACTTTCTGAAAGCAGCTCCACTGAGTCAGCCTGTGATGCAGGAAGTAGTGAGTGCAGTGAGCTAGTGGGGGTTGTCTCTACCCAGTAACTTTCCACCAACAGTCTGTAACTTTCCACTGCAACAGAAGATGTTGACTAACTGCCTTTTATTATTATATATAACAAACTAGATTTACAGTGAATAACTAAGTAATTAATTAATTAATTTGCAGTTAGCAATGAGTACAATCTCCGAAATATGTCTTGGAAATTTCAAGTAACGTTAAAAAGAACCAGTGTTAAATCTATTAATTGCATTATTTATAGTAATCGCAAAATACATCATCATGCTTATGACATGGGCACTTGCAAGGAATCACATTTCAACTAGTTTATTGACGTTATGGGACATTAAGAGTGTGTAGAAGAGTGTGTAGCCTGGTACTGGTTGAGGTCAGCAATCCTCCAGCTGTGACAATTCATTAAAAATAAAGGGAACTCTAATAAGGGAACTCAGTAAGCTATATGGCAAATAATACACAGTGTTTAATCAGAATCAAGCATTCTTTTTAGTAACGAAGAATACTTAATTTTAAGGAATACCTGACTGAATTTCTTTATGTGGTCAGATGTGGGACTAAGATGTTGCATGGTAAATGTAGGATGTTTTGGGAATTTCCCCATAAGACAAAGTAAATGTCACACTTTATCTGCCTCCGCTTCCTTGATTTTGAACATTCTTTTAAAATATTTGATGTGAGTACCACATAAGTGAGAACCTTATGAAAGTACAATCACTGGAGTTCACTGGAGTCTACACTTCCACATGACTTTATTGATCCACATAGTTGTGCTCAACAAACGCGGTAGAAGGGCAGAAAGCACACACACTACATTCAATTACCGAGTTATGATACTCTCATATGTGCAGTTCTTAGCTGGATAAGTGAAAATTGTGGGGTGCTGGTGGTGCTGGAAGAAACGTTGTGAATATCTGCACAAAATTTCATGGCAACCCATTCTATAATTGTTAAGATATTTCAGTCTCATGGTGGACTGACCAGTTTCTGTAGTGCATGCTTGATGACAGTTATATACCCTTCCTAAAGCACGCCCCTTTTTGCTCTGTGCGCCAATAACAGTTGAGCAAGTCTCGGTCAGAACCAGAACCTCAGTCAACTTCATCCTTTCCTGTACTTAGATATGATATATTTTAGTGTGATGTTTCTATTACTTATGTTTAACTTAAATGTATTATTATTATTATTATTTATATTAGCCTATATCAGACATGCAGGCATATGCTAGACTCGTCTATGTTGGAAAGACATAGATATATAGATATATATATAAGCTTAAGTTAGCTAGCTAATGATTGATTAATCAATGTTAGACTGATTTATATTAGCTACCTAACTAGCTGATAATTGTTAGCTAGCTAGTTAGGTAATGTTTTGCTAACATTAGCTAACTTAAGATGTGACTATATGGCACTTTCATCTTTTAATGATCTTCAAAATTAGTTTGTCTTTTTTTGACTTGCTCAACTAATTGGAGCACAGACTGAAAAGGGGGCGGGGCTTATGAAGGGGTCGATTATGTCAGTGGTAGCTTGCTGGGAATGTATTCACCAGGAAACGTTATGCTGAAGTCCCACTCACTAACCTGTCACTACAATGATAATTTATACTATTTGTATTTGTTTCCATTCTCTGTTAGGCACATCAGTTCAGAGAAAGCCTACAAGGCATAGCATGTAGTTTCTGAACACCACACACTGTTAACATACAATAGCCCTTATGTACATATTCTGGTGGAGGCCTTTAAGTGGACCAGAACGACCAGTTTGGTTAGCTGTTGTGCTTTTTCCATTAAAAGATGACCTGTGAGTGCTGAACGGTGTCAAGTTCACTTTTGACCGTGATATAGTGACATAGACGGTGTTAAGTACTTTTGATGACCCTGTACAAGCTTTTTACAGCCAATGAAACTTAATTTGACCAAGATATTGAACTATTTTTATTGTGTAAAAAAATGGTGTAAAACAATGGTGCAAGAACTCCCTACAGTCAGATGAGGGAGGAAAACTGCCTTTTCCTGAGAAAATCCTTACAATAGCCACATTGAGAAATATCAAGTTATTTGCCTTGACTTAATCAGTTTCTCGTGCATAGAACAGGTTCTAAATTTATATTCAGTTTATCTGGACAGTGTTAAAAGATTACAATAAGGCAATTATTTTCACTGGACCCATCTAGGAGAGGAGGAAAGTGTGAGGAACTCATTCAGAGTCCTCCCCTCCACATCTGAATTTAGGCTTAACATCAATTCTTACAAATTACAAATTACAAATTACACAAGAACACCATAAAGAGACCATAAAAAAACACATTACAAGGCACAAGAAACACATTAAATGCTAATTTTCCCAAGACATCCTTGTATGCTTAGAACATGTGTTATAGCATTTGTTATAACAGTTTGTTTTAACACTAGCACATATGTATCATGTGCATGTGTTATAATAACAAGGTGTTACTCCCTAACTGTTGAAAATTACTACACTTTCCAATATAAAAGACAGAATATAAGCTAAATATAATAGAATCATTTATACATTTCCAGGAAAATGAAAAGGCATATTCACTGTAAATTTCAATAAAATTCACAATCATTATGAATTTCCATATCATGAAAACTTCTTCAGGACAATCACGTTAACTCAAGAATTTGTTATCCTAGCTGTACTCAACAAAAGAACATAATGTCACAGTCAAATGACCATTAAAGAATTAGACCTTAAACAGGGATAGGCTCTTTAGCCCCTCTCCAGGTGATCCCTATGACTTTAACAAAAAAATCTTTTTTTTTAGGAATTTAAGGAAATTATTATCACCAAATGAAAAAATGTTTGAACATTTTGTCAAGTAAAAACATGTTACCTCCTGACCTGGCACTATTTCCTCTATTTTTTGTTGAATCACAATAGCGGTGGCTACTAGTATTGAGTCTTCCTAGCTAGGCTAGTTGCGGAGTCCAAATCCATAAAAAGAAAAGTCTCAGAGATCAATTACCAACATCGAAAATGAAACTAAATGTTGAAAGGTGGCACTTCTACTGTATATATATATATAATTTTTTGATAAACAGCTGATGATGCCAATTTTCCAGTCAGGTGTCATTATTGCCCTACATTGCAGAATTATTTATAAAATTAACTGTCTCACCCCTCTTCATGATAGCAAGCACACACACTCTCAGCCTGCCTTTGAGTGTGATCATTTCTTCGACACTTTTGCTTTCAGACATATTCCACACTTTCTACGAACAAGTTTGTTTGAAGCACACTGAAGCCTGCTTCACAGTTATCACCATACAGTGTAGAAAATATATTTTAGAATATACAACAAAGTACTCACTTCTGTTAAAAAAAACAAAAAACAAAAAAAACAACCTCTTTCTAAAAAGTGGCTCCTGAACTCAATCCTGAGCATATCTCTACCCAAAAATCTAATTTTGCAGGAAAAAAAACAGGACCAAAATGACAAACAGAACCCTTTACAGTGTACACAGATGGCTTTTTAAACATGGTAATTTGCAATCTGACAAAAAGTTCTCATGAGAATAAATACCAGTTTTCCTGTAATACCATGCTCATGTTTAAAGTTGAGAGAAAACTGAAGGACAGCTTACCTGCAGACCTTGTAGGTGAGGACAAACGTGGCCCACTGCTTGGAATTAACCAAGCCTATAAGGAGAAATAGATGAAGAGAAAGACCCCGACAGAACTAATCACCACCAGTCCTATGTTCAAAATAATTCTGGTATGTGGAGGTTCATGGAGAAGCTCATCCACAATCTTCTCCTGTTCCTGGACTGTAATGACCTGAGCTTTGGATGGCTTCTCCTGGAAGCCACAGAACCACTCTAAAACCTTTACACACCTCCCACCTTCCACTCCACCTCCTCCAAAGCCGCCCTCCTCTTCCTCCTCCACATCCCTCACACCTCTCTCTTCTACCTTTATAGGGTCACAAATTGATGAGTGGAAACCATTCTGAACTGGATGGTGAGTTTCTATATCGCTGGCTGTGATAGCATGACCATTGCTTGGTTGAGAATTTTCATGATTGGCCTGCTTGTTTAGGTGGTCTTGACACTTTTCTTTACTGAGGAAATGGTTCCCATTTAGGCTTACATGATTTAGAGGCTTCAAAGCATTGATGCCTTCTCCTGCATTCTCATTTTCTTGCTGTTTTAGCCTCTTTCTCTTGTTTAACCCCCACAGAGTAGTGGTTCTGATTTGTTCTTTTCTGGGTGGAGGAGTACAGAGGCTTACAACTACAGTCACCAAAGCCGTCAACCAAAACAAGATAGCTGCCACATACATGAAATGAACATCTTTGATGAAAGATGGCCGCTCATCAGGCTGGCTGCAGTGAGGCTCGCGGTAAACACATGCCAAAACCAGACGCAACGCTCCAAGGGCAAACCCCACCATACCACCCCAAAAGGCACCCGTTTCGTTGCAGCGACGCCACAGGACGCCAAGCAAGAAGAGAGCAGCTATGGGTGGAGTCAGGTAATCTGATACTTCTTGGATGTAGTAGAACATCTGGCCTCCTTGCATCTTGATAATGACCGGTACCCAGGCAATGCTGATGATCACCATGAAAACCACAAACAACTTGCCGACTATCACCAGCTCCCTGGGTGACACCTGCTTTCGCAGCATCTTGTAAATATCCAATGTGAATATGGTGCTTGCTGAGTTGAAGATTGAGTCCAGATCACTCATTAGAGCTGCAATCATGACAGCCATCATCAGACCACGAAGGCCAACAGGCATCACTGACATGACGAGCCGTGGGTAAGCCACGTTGCTACAGCCAGCTGCAGAACCGCACACTTCCATGCAATGCTCTGGGCTGATACATACCAACTCATCAGCAAAGAGGATCCTGGAAATCATGCCTGGAATCATGATGATAAACAAATCAGTCATTTATTGAGTCCACAGTCAGGGTTTTAGGTGTAAGTTACTCAAAAATCAATGAATGGCTCTACCTGGAATGACAATGATGAACATTGGGAGTATTTTCAGAAAGCCAGCCATGATAGTAGAACCTTTGGCATGGGCAATGTTTTTCGCTGCCAGAACCCGCTGTACAATCACTTGATCTGCACACCAGTACCTGGAACACACAGTGAGAGCACATAGAGTTAATAATTAATTTGATGCTGGGTCAATTAGTCAAAGTATCAAGTAGCATTATCAGCAAGGATACTGGTTCACTCCCCATTACCGTGCGGTTTGTACAGACTAGTTTTGTGGGCAGGGATCAGACATATTGCTATGTTAGGGACATTTTTAAACATGCTAGTGGCATGGTTCCAGGGATGACAATGTTGGCTGGTCATTTGGCTCACCACTTTGATACAGACTGAATTGGATCAATTGCCTTTTTAGATACAGATATTCAAGGTTACCAGAGGTTAAAGCCTACTGACTTTGGTGATTCCCAGACTTTTCCTCTGTACACTGTACAGAAATGCCGCCCTCACAGGATGAACTGTAATCACTTTGGTGAGTTCCTGACTCTGTATCTTGTGTCATCAAGTCAAAATTCAAACTTTGAACAGCCTGAGCTGTACTTTGTGATTAGTGCATGCCAACATTTGCAAATTAGCAAAACTAAACTAATATGGTGAGTATGAAACATGATACCATTATACCTAAGTAAATGGACTGTACACAAGCGCTTTTACATGACATGCCACATACAACCACAATGACACCCATGCACAATATTGGGAGATATTTCGGGATGAGTATGTGGCTCAAGGAGGAGGAGCTGCGGATCGAAGCACCAATGGTCTGATTAGTGGACGACCCACTCTACCTCCTGAGTCACACCCTAGCATTTTCACTCTTTAGCCCTAGCTCAAAGCACGTAGAGACCAAAAAAGTACTGAAAGTACCTTTCCAGTGGCCTGTAGCTGCAGTGCATGTGACTACAATGCAAAAATGTTGGATGGAATGAACAATATAAGCTAAATATCTAATTTTTTTCCCAAGGAAATCCCAACAGGGAAGCTCATGAAGTATCCAAAACCAAGCACCCATGTTCTTCTGGGGAGCATGAATGTGCTCAGAAAATGTCAATCAATTTATTTTCACTTTCGTTTTATACAAGCTTGCTGCTGCTTCAAGAAAAAAGGCCAGGTTAGGTTGGAATAAATCTTCTGGGGACCATAAAATACATATAATCCTTTAGGAATTTAGGAAGTCAGTCTAGATGGAAAAACTTGTAAAAGTACCAAATAGAGGCAGGAGTCTGGCCCAGTAAGAAACCGGGCCAAGGCAGGTCTGGATCCCTTGGTCCTCGAAGGATCTTCAGGGCATCTTGCTTTGGGTTTAGGTGGTGGAAGCAGGATTCAGAAAACGTCAGGTTGGATGAAGACAGCAAGATAGCAGTGATGTTTGGAGTAGCCTGCATGTACTTTGTCTTCATACCTTAAAATGACATGTCAGGAAATGGCTTAGCATATGGTATAGTATAAAGATCAAACAGTTTTATAATTAGAAATTAGTAATTAATTAATAAATTAATTGGTTTAATTTCGGTGCAAACAGAAGATAGATAAAGACCTTCAAGTCCTCCCACTTTGAAGAGGCTGATGCCTGTAAGGCAGAGTGCCCCGGCGATCATGAGGAATGCTTGGACCGTATCTGTGTAGATGACAGCGACCAGACCTCCTGTGACTGTCAGCAAAGCTGTCATAGCAATGAGGATGATGATTGACAGATAGAGGTTCCATCCTAAGGATTCCTTAATGAACAAGGCTCCGGCATAGAGGTCCACGGACAACTTGGTGAAGATATACAGAATAAGAGATAATGCAGCAAAATACACCTTTAGTCGCCTCCCGCCGAACCGCTTGGACAGGTACTCCGGCATGGTGTAGACACCGGCCTGAATATACACAGGGATAAACACCCAGCCTAACAACTGGAGCAGTAATAAAGCATTTAATTCCCATGCAGCCACGCTGAACCCGCTAGCAGCACCTGATCCAGCTAGTCCAATGAAATGCTCACTTCCTATGTTGCTGACGAACAGAGATGCCCCTACAGCCGCCCAGTTCATGGAGCGACCAGCGAGGAAGTAGCCACTCACTGTGCTCTGACTGGCTTTCCACATGGCAAGGAAGCCAATCAATAGCACCAGGATGAAGTAGATTGCTACAATGATGATGTCTGCCACTTCCATGTTGGCTGTGGTGGCCATATTTGAGCACTTATGTTGCAAGTGCAATAGCTTTGCACTTTATATTTAGTTATGTCCTTAGATATGAAATGCAAGTGTGGAGACACTTGCAACACTGAAATTTCCACTAATTTAAGTCCATCAGTTATAAAGGGGATGTCCGAGATAAATGTTCCTTGTTCCTTTGGCATCTGATTTTAAGAAAATATTCTAAGTAGTCTTTTTTGATATTTTCTAGTTTACCTCAGCTTTGGTAATCAATGCAGGTTGTGGTTTGACAGCTTACAAAATAGCGGCACATTGTCGCTATGTTTTGACTGAGGGAGTGTCAAAGGAAAATGGTCATCTGGATCCTGCAACAAACAAATGTACAAACAAACAAGATGAATCTTTCCAATGCAATGCAAATTATGCTGTAACCAAGTTTGAGACATTTGCCTACAATTTCTAATGCCAATAAAGTACATGTAGCACCAAACACCTTTAGGGTCACTGCTTCTTTGGTAGGCAGTCAACCAAATATATATATGAGATTGTGTCAATACACTCAATCTTCACACCAACAGTGTGTCACTATGCAAGATATTATTTGATGCTCTTTAGAAGTAGACAAAAGATAATAACTTGTGCTCTGGTGTTAAAGAGGTACCCTGCAATTTAGTATTGCACTTGAAAGAATAAGAAGTATTGAAAGAACAGTCAAAATTAAAGCAACAAAGGTCAGATATCCTGATTTTTAACTTTAATCCCGAATATGGGTCAAGCTCCAAAAACACTGGATCATACATTTACCAAATGCAGTTTGGTAGTGTCTTTTATTAAACCCTACCTGCCTGGGAAATGGCTACACCACACATTCCACACATTCTTGTTTTGTCAACTTATGTTTCTAAGGTCATGAAAGAACTGTCAAACTCTGGTCCATACCTCAAGTTAATCCTCCAATCCCAAACCAAGCTAACCCTGATGATATCACTATGACATTTCTTTTAAGACTTCATTCATTCAGAGCCATCAAAGACATAATTCAACTGTTTTTACAGGCTGAGTAGTACTCCCCATGAGGAATAAATGTGATCAGTTGGGTGGCTTCCTTGTTCAGATCAATCTTTTCCTTACAATGTCCAAACATCCAATCCTCCTTTCTCCTGCACTCCAAGTCTGCCCATGGCTTGGATATTCTGTTTTAACTATAATGTCACTTGTATTTTTTATGTTACACTTATATAACACAAGTCACATTGTTTTTCAAATGTCAGTAAAAACCCATAAAGGCTTGCGAAATTTGGTAAATGAAGGAAAAGTCTTGATTAAGGCAACCCCTGGTTATATCAAGATCCCTGCAAGCTGTGTAAACACAGTAAAACATGTTTCTTTTCTTTTCTGTCTTGTCTTTCCGATGCACCTGCACAGCAGAGCCTTTCAGAAATTATTGTCCCCTCATCTCTGCAGCGTTTTCCGAGGGTGGAAGAGCTCGGGAATGACAGACAGCTGTTTGTGCTGAGTTTAAGGAAAGTAGGGCAGTCAGCACTTAACCCTTTCTGCTAGTCCTTCAAGAGTGACAGAGCAGGTTTGATTTCACCGGAAAGTAATTATCCAAGAACATTGCTCAATGCGATCATTATCTCTACCAGGCATATTTGATTGTGTGTGTGTCTGTGTGTGTATCTGTCCGCAGCCCCACTAAGTGGTGGACCAATTTGATTGAAATAAAAATAACAACTATTGGGTGGATTACCATGAAAAGTTTGTGCAGAGATAAACGGTCCCAAAGGATGAAGCCAGGTAAAAGTCTCAATTTGTCCAGTACTTTGGTTTATGACAAAATGCTACAAACAAACTACAATGCTATGACATTCACATAACCTGTTTACTTAATAGCAAGTTGGACGGTTACACGCTAATAGAGGTTATGATACTAAATGGTTGAAACATTATACCTGCTTAACATTGTTAATCATAATGTTATGATTGTAAACATGTTAGCAGGCTAGCATGGCTATAGAATCTTGTTCAATCAATATATTGCTTGACGTTACTTCCAGGTGAATGGTTACCAGCTCTGTTCCTTGGGGGTCCCGACAGGATCCGGTTTGAACCCACACCCCTCATTTTAAAGTGTGCCAAGTGTGTAACATTTAGGAAGATCTATTTGGCAGAAATGGAATATTATTCCTAGGTACGTTTTCACCTTCCATTGAGTCCGCCATGTTTAACCACCATGTTTCTACAGTAGAGAACGGACAAACCAAAAACTTGCTCTAGATAGGGCCGTTTTTCGCATGTTTTGCAGCCACTGTAGTGGGCAAATGCTTGGAATGGAAGCCTGTTTATAGGCAATAGTTTAATGAGACCTGGAGTTGGGAAGAAATTTACTAAAATAATATATTTGTTCACAAAATGGTCAGAAAACATTGTGGTCAGGGGGCTCATGACCTCCTAGTTACAGCCCTACAGATAGGTAAAGTGCAGCTCAATGCTGATGGTATTGAACTGTAATAGTCAATATTAAGTACAAAGCTGCTTTTTCTGTTAGCAATGCTATCACTAGCCATGATACAGAACTGTAGCTTAGGATCCTGCATGAGGGCTGGTGTTTGTGTTTGTTGCCCATGTTTGCTGCTCAGCAGAGGGATCTGGTCTGTGGAGGACAGCTGGGGTCAACTGTGTGAACGCATACAAGTCTTTGGAAAGCACAAATCGCTCCATTCACTCTATTTTAGCTCTGTACAGGCAGCCTGAAAATGTTTCACTAGTGGAAACCGTTTGGAACAATAGCATCAGTGACATTTCCTCACCAGAGTACATTGGATCCACTGTAGTTTACAAAACTGGTTTACTCCCGATGCTACTTGCAGAAGAGTCAATAATGATAATTAGTACAAGGTAAACCAACTTCTTGAGGAGAATGCTGGGTAAGCAGAGGTTTTGTTTTCAGCTTTTAGAGTTTTATTAGGAGACGTCTATAGAAGAAGTTTTGGACCTGCAGGGAGATTTTTGTAACAGTGATGTTCATTGCACAGCTTTTTACTAGGCTTAGGTCAAGTTTTTAACATATCCCAAAGTCACAAAGCACAATTTACCTCATTAGGGCTTTACAATCTGAACAGTATTCACCACCCTCTACCCTCAAACCCTTGATTTGGATAAGAAAAGAAAAACTAAACTGAAAGAGTGATCTTTTATTCTATTTTTAACCAAATCTTAAATGAAGGGACTCACCACTACACTCTCTCATCCTCATGGTTTCAAGGAAATTTGAATGCATTTTAATCACATTTTGATGCACTGTTGTGGCTCATTTTTCTCCTGAACGACCCTCAAAACTCAAATGCACTAAAGGTCTTGCACCCTACACACCCTTAAACACACCCTTTATTACCAGTGTATTTTACTACAGTTAAGTGGTTCTGCTGATTAACATAGCAGTCACTAATAAGGGAGGGAGAGGCAGTGAGAACTCCAACAAAACTATTCATTTGCACTCAATCTAACCTCTTTTTCACTCATTACTTATTCTTCAAGTAAAGACTTAAACTAAATCATAGGGTTTCCTTTTAATATCCATATTACACTACAGAGAGACTGGTAGCTATTTATAGGATACTTTGTTTCAAATGACATTGCTTTAACTCTCTGTATATATGATATAATATATTAATAGTTCTTTAATTTTATTTATTTGTCTAATAATAGTTCAAAGGGACTTTGTGTGGCAAGTTTTCTAAGACATTCCTATAATAATAATTTTCTTATACAGTTGGTTAGCGATAAAATATATGGTAGCTGCACTTTTGAATTATCCATAATACTATATATTCTATTTTTTGACTGCACTTTACAGTGACCAGTTTTCATTGTATTTTCCCTATACTCTTATAATATTGCATAGTTCCTATATTGTACTATGTTGTGCGTTTGAATTTATAACCTTTAATTTTCTTTTCTATGTAAGTTAAAAGTGTTGTAATGTTATATACATGGTACTGCTTCTCAAAACTATTTCTAGACAAAAACACAACTGTTGATCTGAATGAATGAGCAAAAACTCGCCTGTTTGAAATTCTATGGCGGTATTTAAGGCGCGATTTAAATAGTAAATAAACTCAGATACCTGCTGGACGGCTGCTGTCTTCCGCGGTGCCCCCCAGCTCGCCTCAGTAGTGGAAAGTTGGGCGACAGTCTGTTCTGAGTTCCTTCCATCTGGTTACGTCTGCAGCGTCCTCTGCCTATTAACAGGAGCGGAAGCCTCCGCCCACAGCAGCGCCTTCATCATCATCATCATCACCTGGGTGGAGTGAAAACACGCAGCTCCGAGCAAGAGGATGATGATGGTGATGCACATTTTCCCTCTACACTGTAACAAATGATTCTGTGGCCATGTAGACTTTAAATGCTGTATTAGGTCGGATCTATTCAACATAACTGTGTCCTGAAATTTCTGTGGCAAATATTTAAGGACATATCAATTAAAAATTTTTGTTTCAACACACAATCCAAAAATGGGTTTTAGCTGGCAGGAATTTTAAGATTGTGTTCCATTCACGCTTGTGTTCGTTATTCCTAAGAAAGAAGAATATTTAGATTTAATTCACTGTGTTAAAAAATAGAATAAATCCGATCAATTCACTGATAAATGTAAATGATTATACTCAATTATACATCATTGATATGTAAACATGTTATTATTAATTTAATTAGTACTAGTTAAAACTTTCAAAAGTTTTTTTTTTCCACATCAACTCAATATTTTTGTTTAAGCGTCCATTAATTAGGGACCGAGCCAGTGACCGCTAGAGCGCAAAATGTCCATAAACTACTTTTTCGTGTTACTCCTATACGCTTTGTCCGATTCGCACAACATTTTTCACGTAGCATCTGGAGAGTGTCCTGGCAAAAAAAGTAATTTGAAGAATTTTCATATTTCAAAAAATGAGCACGCTATAAAATTAGCACTAGCACCTGTACTTTTTTTGTCAAAAAGGAAGTGGACCATTTCTCCACATTGGTATGTCCAATTGACACCAAGCTTGGGTCCATAGTGGGGGGAGTATTTCTCTCTCCTCTCTATTTTTTTTTTGTCTTTTTCTCTTTATTTCGCATCGACTAGCAAAATTTGAAAGCCACGCAACAAAATGGTGGCGCTCTTTAAAAATGAAGTTTATATCTCCGCATCAGCACGTTGTGATTAAAATGAACTTTGTGGTCGGGTACAATGGGCTTGCCCATGGACTTACCCTGGGATGGCTCTCTGGAATAATACTGTAGGCAGATTCGTTCACCAAGCCATCGTTTTACGGTGGCGAGCTCGCTTTGGAGTGCTCTTCTGATTTAAGCATTTCAACCTGTGCGGAGACCGCTTCAAATTATGAATATGAATTCACATTGCAGGTGGTTTAGATCTGGTGCTGGTAGGCTCAGGTTTTTATCAAAATAAGTCGGTTTTTACATTCATTGTGAGGTTTGGGTGGGAGGGTTCGCCCATACATGGTAGTTGGGTTGTTACACCAAAAGCTGTGTCAGTGCCCTGTAGTGGGTTCGCCATCGTTTCTACACGTGGGTAGTTGGATTTATGCGAAGACAATGAATTTCGGTGATTAGGTCTGATCACGAGGCACGTTTTAATGTTTGCGAAGTATTCGTTCACATCCATGAAAATCCTACTTTGGACCCATTACCCCTAGGGAGGTCCCAGGAAATGTTAATGAACCTTGAATATGTCGCCCATTCGTTGGATTTCATTTTCCCTTTCGTGGCGATCAATTTTGGGCAGCTTTATGCACTACTCCTCACTACGGTGGAATTCATCAGTCTATTCGCTCTCGAAGTCGGTCGATTCTGTGGGCCCAATTCTGTAAGAACAGTCAAAGAGTTATGTGACATAGAATTAAGAGGTTTTGGGTGTTAACAAATATTTGTTTTTAGCGCTGACGGTCTCTTAATGCATGTGGGTTGTTCACGCAACGTTAGTGTCCTTGTGCCGTATCAATTATTTTGGCCAGATCTGGAATTTCATCCGAATCTAGTTCCACCTGTGATGCATTTCTGCCAGTTTTATAGTTCTGTTCTGTTTGATTATTCAATAGAACTTAACTCACTAGCAGAGTTTTGTATCGCTTTGACTTTCGAATACACATTTCGATCAGTCTGCTAATCTATGTACCAGACAGCTTTTTGAACCTCAGAGTTAGAGTTTATATGTTAATTGCGAGGTGATGTCAAAACGTTGTGTGCTTATTTGTGACTGTTATGTTTAACCGCGGTTAGTACCCCGTGTCACGATGTGCTCGAATTCCACCGACTGTTGGCCATAACAGAACTATGTATTACTCTAGGTTACGCATATCTTTTTAGTTGTGACATGTCCAATCTCAATGATAAGCTTCACGATGTTTGATAGAGTCACTGGCGCTTGTCCATTATGGCCTAACAGCTTAAGTATTGTTACAATGGCAAATAGTTCAAGAAATTTATATAGTGGTAATGGATCCTTGACTCTCAACTCTCGATGATAGTGTTAATACTAAACTGTTTGTGCACTTTTGAGATCCCATGGTTGCGTTGAAAATTTTGCAGATAGTTTTTGTTTGTGCCTCGCTACCTGGTTTGATGCTCGCTCTTTGCAGGTGGACCCCGGCGGTCCGCAGCCACGCCCTGTGCACTTCTCGTGGGTGGGAGTGCTATTGACAGTCTGTTTCTCTGTCTTTGCATACCTATTTCCGGTGTTTCGATCTTACCTACTTTCCGCTTTCCAGGTTGTCCCTGCAATGTGATTGTTTCTTTTTTCAGGTGTTACGGGGGGTTGACCATGGTGGTAGTTTTTTGATCTGAACAGGTTTTGTGTCCGCGGCTTCTTGTCTCATCGCTGTCTTAGCTTGAATTTAGTTTGTTAGTCTATTAGATATTAGTTTGAGTGGTGTGTATGATAATCTCTACTCTTTGTAA